GTGTCAGTGTGTGTACGTGTATGTGTGTGTGCCAATGTGTATGTGGTGCCTGCGTATGTGTGTATATGTATGTGTGTGTGTATGTTTGCATGTACATGTGTGTATTTGTATGTATGTGTGTCTATGTGTCAGTGTGTACGTGTATGTATGTGTGTGTATGTGTATGTGTGTGTGTATGTGTCAATGTGTGTGTGTGTGTGTGTTCATGCGTCTATGTGTGTGTGTGTTTGCATGTACGAGTGTCTATGTGTGTGTACGAGTATGTGTGTGTGCTAATGCGTGTGTCGTGCCTGCGTTTGTGTGTATGTGTATGTGTCTGTGTCTGTGTGTGTGTTTGCGTGTACATGTATCTATGTGTGTTTGCGTGTAAATGTGTGTACATGTGTCTATGTGTGTGCGTGTGTATCTGTATTTGCATGTGTGTCTATGTGTCAGTGTGTGTGTAAATGTATGTGTTTATTTTTTTGTGTCTATGTGTGTCTGTGTGCGTATTATTGTGTGTTCTTCTTGAAAAACAAAAAGTAGAAAAACAAAACAAGATATTTGCATCACTTGCGCATCTGGCCACATGGTTTTCTGCCCATCTTTAAAATGTTTTAAATTACTCTTTGTGTTTCTCCATAACCTCTTCCACAATAAAACAGAGATGAGGCTGGGGATATTAAGGCAGTCTCTCCAACATCCAGGACACAATGCGGTGATTGATGGGGGACAAAGTGAGGACAGCAGTTGAGGGGGAATCCTTGGAGACGGGGAGACGAGCGTGGGGCTGATGCGGGTAAAATACAAAAAGCAAACATTAGGAGGGGCCAGACCTGGTTTGGAGACTATTTGTATGAGTAATCAGGCGGCCCCCGTGCACAGGCTGCGCTCTCTCTCTGTCAGCCGTGTTTACTCACCGATTTTCTCAACAAGACAGCCATTGAGTCGGGATGGATGGGGCTAATCCGACACAGAAAGGAACAGCTCTGGCGAGGTGAGGCGGCTGAGATAGAGCACCCTCGACACACTCCCCTCACCTAATCTTCCGGCAAATATTTATCACCATCAATTTGGTCTGACTCTGTGACATTAAAATAGCCCGTATAGATAACCCCTGCCTGGAGAATCGATGGAGGCTCCAGGCGACCTGTTCGGCTCCGTGTGTAGCGGACCATTGGATCACAGGGAGAAGGTCACAGTGGAGGCACGTCACACCTGAGATCAAATAGGTCGGCTGAAAAAAAGAAAAAAAAAAAGGGAAAAAACGCATACGGTCTGCAGAAGAAGCTCAACATCAAAGAGAAAACACTTTTTAGGCTTAATAAAATACATGCTGAATTAAATTTTCATTATATACGTCAACATTTTCTATAATGTTCAATAATGGGAAACAATTATACATATTTATGATAAAGCATAATGCTATGATCTTGTGAAACTTGTTTTTTTTCTATTTGAATTTCAATTTGGAGTGGCATAGGGTAGGTTTTCTTTTAAATTAACAGATACACAAAGACATTTTCCAGAGTTTGATACAAAAAGTGTAGTTTCAAAGATATATCAATTCAATTCAATACACATGAAATCCAAAGTTTAAGACTTGTGCAGCTTTTAATTGTTGATTCAATGCCATAGAGGAGAGGAGTTTACAGAATGGGCACAGTTCCAGACATGGAGGCCCATGTTGAAGGCATCAATGACAACAGCTGTTTGAGCTATATCTTCTACTTTTGAACGTTTTCAAATGTTTTTAGAAAGATTTTACGACAAAGAGTAACATGTTCGTTAGGCCTGTACCGTGTTCAATAAAACACAACACCAAAGGGCGTTTCTTTATGTGATCTTTCACATGTGAATGTCATAGTGTATGTGGAAAAACCCTCATAAAAATAAAATAGTCAGAAAGTGTGATTTGTGGGAAAAGCTGGACGCCCTGCTCAGATCAGATGCTCTCTTTCCTAATTGCGCAGCAGTCTGCCCGCGCACATTTCACTAATGTCACATTTAGATTCTAGAAGCAGCGCACGGCTGTAGAACACACCTCCCTCTGTACCCCTGCTCTGTTGTGTCCACTTTGATCTTACAGGCATGCGCATGCGCAGACGTGCGGCACGTTTTGGATATCCATATATTTATTTATATTTTTATATTTTGTATGCAGCTTAAACCACTTCTTCATCTGTGCTCACGCATGCAGCCCCCCGCGGAGACACACTGTGCATAGAAAAGTCCAAAGTCATCCAGTTTGCTCTAATCATTACAATTAGTGTGAATTATCACCGGACTCTGACAGACGTTCCTTGTAACTCTCTTTTATTTCCAGCCCGCGCTAATCAGCGCCTCTCATTACAAACGCTGATTAAACTGCAAATTAGCCAGCAGCGGCCCCGTCCGCGCTACCACTGCATCGCTCAATATCAATTAAGTGGAGCAGGCCGTCTGTAGTCTCCCAGCGCTTCCAAATGCTTGATAGTGCCATTTATTAGTTTGGAAAACTCGGAAAATACCAATAATCCATTCCACCAATAAGCCATGAAGCAGTGGGGAGAGAGCTATGGGTTTTCCCACAGCTCACTACAATCACACTTCAGGCAGAACCGCAGAGCTATAAGGCTGGACTAATAGAAGTTGTCATGATCAAGTCAAAACCGAGTTGGAAGAATCATAGACTGAATGAGCCAATGCTGAAGCCAAGCAATTATTCACCGTGTGTCCTTAACAGTATTTTCTGTGGCTTGCAGTCAAAATGGTTAAGTTAAAAGATTCATTGCATATGGTGTGTTTTCTTACAATAGACAGAGCATGGCAGGCTTTATGAAAGTCATTTGTCAAGGACAATTTGAGATAAAAACAGGCAGCAACTTCAAGTCATAGTATGAAATTGATTATTTTTCATAGATAGCAAATCAATATCAGATGTACAAAGATTCAAATATTATTGAATGTGCTTCTATGCAATTCCAGAAGCAATTTAAGTTGAAACATGATGTCGTTAGTCATAACGCCGACGAATAGTTCACACAGTTTGAGCATTTGAAGTGTTTGCTTCTGATGCATTTGAATAAAAAATAAAATACTTTATATTCTGAAGTGTTCAGGTCATATCCAATGTTGTCACAGTTTTTCTTTCCTGAATTACATATTCACACTAGTTTCGAATTGAGTATATGATTATTTTATATTTCTGCCTTAAATCTCAGATTGAGACTTAAGCATAAAATTCATGTCGGTCAAGAACAAAAGAGAGCAACAGAGATTGGAGTGTCACAAATGTGTCTTTTTTAACCATATAAGGACCAGTCGAATAGTACATTTTGTTATTTTACTTTAACAAAAAGGATAACATTTGCTTCATACATATGATTATGTAAAAGTAGTTTCACGGATATTGTTCCAGTGTATACATCTGCGTAAAGGTGCACATAGACCCAGTTATAAAATGGTTTTCCACCTCAATGCATAAATGATAAATGCCAAAGTGTCCACAAAAGTAACATAACATTTGTGGATTATATTTCTCAACATTAGAACTTTTTGAGAACTTTTTTGGAAAGAGGCTCTCCTGCAGAGTGAAATATGCAAGTCAGCTCACAGTCAGGAAAACACAGATTTCAATAAGTTTGAGGTCAAACCATAAAAGAACAGTTTTGTCTTAATGATATTTGGATAGTATGCACTGAATGACAAAAGGTGCTTTTAAAATGCTGCTCTCCATTATTGCTGGGATAATATGATATTCACTGTTACAGGTTATCAATTCCCACCTCTGCACCTTCTCCACCGACTCCCACTGATGACTGCTGTTGTTGTGTCCTTGGGCAAGACACTTAACCCCACTTTGCCCAAAGCCCCCCCTGAAAGATCAAGGCTATGCTCACCTCAGAGAGCAGCCGTCCTCCTGTGGACTCACCACCTGCAGAGGGTCAGTGAGGGGCTGGTGCTATGAGACTTGGGTGGCATCTCTGACTGCCACCCCCCTGACCCAGAAATGGATTAAAGGGTAGAAAATGGATGGATGGATGGATGGATGGAAGGTTATCAATACTGTGTACCTCTGCTTTATTGTCCCCATAAAGCCCTTTAATAATTGCACTCAATCTTTGTTAAAAGCCGCCGACATCACAGTGTTTATGAGTCGATTATTTTTGGTAATCCAAACCCACAAATCATGTCAACAAAGAAGTCTGTTCTCGGGTTTCAGTTTCTTGTTTCAAGCTACATTTTGAGGACCTTTCTCCCTTTCAAAATACAGTATGGTGTCCTTCATGGTGCAGTGGAAACAACCTGGAGATGAACGCCCACAGGGACAGGCTTTCTGCTGGTGCCCAGAGAACTAAACATGGGGAGCAGCATTTCAGATTTATGCAGCTAACATTTGGGTCTTCCTGTAAATGTGAGACATGGCTTCTCTTCTGACAATGTCCAATCCAGGTTAAAAACAGTTCTGTTAACAACTGAAGGATTTAATTTACTGTGATTATACCTTTTCTGATTTTTCTTCTTGGCTTGCTTTGGTATTGACTCAAATCATAACACATCGCAAAGCTGAAACTTCAAATAAGTTCAGTTAAAATAAATGTTACTATACTAATACTACTTTACTATACTATACTTTATTTGTATGTTTTTATTGGTTTTCAAATATAATTGGGTCCAAGTACCCTAATTAGATCTTGAACTGTTCCCTTTGATCACTTAAACATATCATAAAAAAAACACATTCATATTTCACATGCATTAAGCGGACTAGCCCATTGAGGTGTCATATTTTGTCTAGACGAGTCCTGTACAAAACACATGTTAAACTCGTGCCAAGGAAAAGAGGCTATTTATAGTCCAGTTTTATTTTTATTTTTTATTTTATTGTTATAATAATATACATACAAATATACAGAACTCTAGTTAGGAGACAACAATTTTGTTCAGAGTATTACAACAAACAAACAAAAAGCAGTTTTGATTTGTTTGGCTCCATAGACAGTCGTTTGCTCAGGTCTGGTCCTCCTGCAGAACCTTTGATGATCGACTCGTCTTGCCTGATCCCAGACGCAGCCGCACATCATCCATCCACACAGAAGTACGCACTGGACCATCCTCATCCTGCAACAATGACTGATCCAAGAATACGGCAGATTAAAATTAAGACCGGTGTCGTCAAGAGGTAAGACTGTTACTGATGAATGGGGAATCAGAAATACCAATGTTAGCCCTTTTAAGTTAGCTAACATGATGTACGCAGGAGATTGGCGATGCTAAAAGCTAACTAGCATAGCCTCCTTTCATTTGAGCTGACATCATGGCAATATTTACCTCTGAATCCTTGACACATTTCGCTTTGACACAGTCTATATTTGACACGAACACATTGTGGGGTAATAATTATGATAGTATTTTTAAAATTCTAAAATTTTAATTTGGACAAAAAGGGCGTTTTCTGCTGAAATGTATTCTGTAGCCCGCCTTAGAAATACTAGAACCTAAATGACTATTGTATGTTTCTTTTTTTGCTCCATTTTTTCATGGTAATGCAACAAAATACCACAACAATCCAGCAAGTTCAACAGTAATACATTCCATTAAAAAGGTGCAAAAGTAGGATTGAAAAAAAAACAAAAAAAAACCCTGCCCCTTTCTCATATAAATAAATGTACAGATTAGACGTCCCAGCCGGCACCAACAATACAACAATTATATGGTTCTGTTATTTAGAGTGTAAAGAAGCTAGTACTCTTTAATTTCTTGTCAAACATAGGGTGAGATTATTCATTGCACCATCTCGCCCTATGTGTGTAACTACATGCAATACATGTGAGTGAAAAACATTTTTATGAGAAAATTGGACTCTTCTGTGACTTTACTTTAGCCACCGTTTTCCTGGACCACCATATTTCTCTTTTAGACCTGCTCCTGATGTCAGAGACGGACTTTTGCGCTTCTATCTGAGCATGGTTAAGGAGAACTATTGGTGTATTTAAAATTCTAAATTGCCCTCGTTGTACAATTGTCCTTCAGTCTAAAGTATTTGTGGATTTACAAAACAGCTGAAAATATTTAAACAAAATAATTGTATTAATTGCAACAGAACTTTTGTAGTGTAATGTCTCTCTTGTCCTTTTCCAGAAGGATTGTTTAGCCATTGGCCGCACAAAATACAGTTTGGAGATTGTTTGTCAGAGCATAAATATACAAAAAATAATCATCATTTTCTTATGGCTCGACATTTTTGGAACACATAAAAATTCTGCCAAAAAAACTGACAAGAGGAGGGCAATAGACTTTAGAAACTGAACCAAAGAGGAGCTTTGAATGATTTGTTTAACTTCAATTTGTTTTTTTTAATTTTGTGTTTACTACTATGAATATTCTTATACAAAGTTTTTAGTTTTTCCATCCTATCATCCTCCAAATCCCATCTACACACCTGCTTATTTAAGGTCCAGATGACTTCTGACTGGTTATTTTCACCAGACGTGAGACAATGAGACACAAGTCACAATGTTTTATGAAGCTTTTATTGGCAGTTTTCGATATGAGGCAAGGCAAGTTTATTTGTATAGCACAATTCATACACAAGGCAACTCAAAGTGCTGAACAAGTTCTGTCAGGTCCAAAGCAGCTCCTGCAGAAGTCTGGCCCCAGAGAAGGATGACATCTTGGCCTTGAACACTTATGTAAACACTTAGACCACCACATAATGAGCTCATGGCTTGTTACATTGCAATGTCGGCTTGTAAATGAACAAACTCCAATGTACAGGACACATTCACACGATGGCAAAGGCAACAGTAATGCAACTGTACTTATGAGTGTGATATTGATTTAAACATTCACAAGACCAGCTGAGGTTGAAACATGTTTGTTTTAGCTGTGTAAATAAAAGCCTTTTAATTAAGACTTTCTTGAGCAGCTCACATTTTGATTAGGAGTGTGTGATACTTCTTTGTTTTTCTAGTCATTTTGACTTTCAATAGTGAATGCATCTAGCATTAGTCAAACCAGGTGTGTCTCTGTCCTGTTTTAATTCATGGAAATTATTTTTAAACTGGTTTATGCTGATCTAATATTTTAATCAGACGTCAAAGTTGGCCATGCTTATATTGATGGAGAAGATACAGTGACAGGAATAATGAGCAGATTTAAATAAGTGATACGAGTGAAGAACTTAGAATTTAACAATAGAATAAAAGACAGAAATGACAAATTATGTAATGATTGATACAGACTCAAAATATGATCAAACACCAGAAAATACTGCCTTTGACGAACTGATATTCTCAGTTTTCATTAAACTTTGTTGTTATTGTTAACAACAATTTATACTTTACTTTTAGAAATATATTTATTTTTGGTCTGCATTGACAATATTATATTTCTATACAAACAGCAGTAAACACGGTCTTAGATTTGACTTGACCCCACCTGGGGCTACCCTGTTCTTATCATACCTGTGGTTGTGTGTGGCTTTGGGAGCCACTGTGGCCTTTTGAGCTGTTTGCAGTGAGAGCCACTACCGCACACTGAGGCATGTGCAAAGAAACGTGTCGTGGCCTACACCCTTGAATATAAATATGTCGATACAATTTTGGTTTTGGTGGGACCAGGAACATTTTCAGGAAAGTTAGCTGTCAAATTAGCTGCTGAATGCCATTCACTGGTTTGTACCAGGGAGACGGGTTTGTGTAAATCATATTGAACTGATAGTTATTTATCAAATACAAAGAAAATCATAATTTATTCACATTTGTGTTGTCCTTGATAAAGTACATAAAGAAACAATACCTCTAAAAGAAAAAGTTACTTAGTCTGAATGTATCTTTGAAAAAGGTTTGGTGTACATCTAATAGCCATTATAGGCACAATCATCATTGTACCAAATTTCACCCAAATCAGAGATGGTGGAGCGAGAAACGTTTAGGAAACTGTTTCTAAACTTTGGATATTATAAACTGACCCGAGTGCTTTGATCATCACCAGTCACCACTGTCTTCTACCACTTACAACATAAAAACCTGCCTCCTATATGTAGATACAAGTGTGCTTCAGAGACCAGCAAGAACTGTACTTATATACTAAATATTCTTGATTTGATTTCAAATGTGAAGTGATCTTCTTCTAAGTCTATGTAACGATTTGATAGACCAAAAAAACTAATAAGTCCAGTCTTACTCTGACGTCACTGTTTTAAGAATCTAGTGTAATCTGAAACTTAATATTTTAATCCTTTTCCGATCTTTTCTTCATTCAAACTTGTGAGTTCCGGGCCCATGGAGTTAACAACACATGCCTTCTCTGTACTCTCTCCCTCAATGTTCTGCAGTTGAGAGGCCATACACCCAGGCCCATTTCCAGTCACTGCCTCTCTGCCCTAGCGCGGCGGATGCCCTTAATAAAATGACAACAGTAATTTGCCTTTGTCATTCCGGTCCCAGCACAGACTACATCGCGGCTCAAAAATACAGTGCTGGAGGAGGCAGCGACCCAGTGTGTGTCGGCTCCTTCTAATTCCTTTTTTTCTATTTTCCAGAAAGCTGCCTTTTCCATTAAGCCTGAGCTGGCAGGTCTATTTAAACCAACCACGACCCCACCCCTCATTCACACAGCGCTCCAGGTCTGGAAGAAATAAGAAATTAACATCACCACTGGAAGGGGAGGAATGGACATTTTGTTATTAGACTGTCCTTCAGTTTTATTCAAATTATCCCAGGCCTACTTTCTCCATCTTCTTTCTCATTGCCACCTCCTTTAGCTCTAAACAGTGACATCACTCATTCAGCATCAAGAATGAAAAGCAAGCGCAGCCCCCACATATGGTCCCTGTTAAAAAGCTTCTTGATGGAAGCAAATTAGAATGAGTGGTAATTGATGTAAAATATGACAGAGTGCAGTTGGCTTCGTGGTTAAGCGAGGAGCACGGCAACACGAAGGGAAGGGTCCGCGGTAATGTGCGTGATTAATGAAGGATCACCCACTTTCGCGCATGAAGTTGATTTTATGAAAAATGAAATTTGTGTTGTCATTCCGACAGGCAGCCACAGCCGGAAAAAGACTATTAGTTGGGTATCATTATCAGTACTTATATTTTCAAACTCCATTATGCCAATCAGGGTCAGAATCTAATAGATTTAGTTCCATTTGGCCTGTAATTGATAAATAATCAGAATTTATCAATGTACTCAAACCAATTTTCACTAACAATCAAGGAAAAGAGGCCCATTTACCACCTGACTTGGTCCAATTTAGGGCCTAAATTGATGATCAATTAATCTGTGAAAAGGACCGCTGGTGTGTACTAAAGGCACATGTATCAGGAGCAGCTCAGTGCATCGCCGAGACATGCTTCACTTTAGTGATTAATACAGTGGATAACAGGGCTCCAAATTACATTAATGTTTATTAATGTGAAGAGGCAAGATACATGACAGTCAGCCGGTACACCACTTATTTTGTATTTTATTCATGATGCTCCACAGATTAGATTATATAGAACAGTACCTTTTTAATGATTGTTTACTTGGCCCCAACCCCTGGTCTCGGTCGTAAATGATAAAAGTATCTTATTCTTGGCACTCAGCAGCTCTGTGTTCTTTGGGTGGATGTGAAGTCCTTGGTGTCAATCATTATCTTGACTTTCTGTCGAGTTTTACATCCTAAACATTTACATAATACAGATTCATATTATGCTTGGTTTTATCATGTTTTGTTTAGGGTTGACACATATAATGAATATATATGAATTAGTTTGAATCTTTCTTTCTTTCTTCAGACAGGTTTATAATGTAGTATGTACGACCGGAAATCATCAAATCAACTGAAAAAAGTTGAGCAGTTGTTACTTGTGGACTATACAGAACATTTGTAGGTAATGTAAATAAAAAAAACACACACAGAGCTTTAAATTGAGGCCCTGACTTTGATATAATCATTTTAGCCAGATGCATCTTCTAAAGTTAGTACGATCACCACTTGCATGGATTTACCTGCAGACATTTATGGGATGTCTCTCTTCTGAGAACGTGTTTGTGCGTCCAGATGGATATTTAGTTTATACTGAAATCTGTTGAAAATGATCTCAACTGTCAATTTTGTTGTGGTTTAGTCAATTTTCCTTGTTTCAGATCTAAGGTTTACCAGATAAACCTCCACCGAGAATCTGCTTTAACTATTGTTTTTCAGGTGGTCGACGTTCACACAAATTAATATCATTTTAAAATATTTGATAAATATATTCTGACCATTTTGCGTAATCCATAAAAATATTAAAAGTAAAATATAAAAGTGTGAGTGTGTCTCTTTGCTGTAGTTTCACCTCTTTGACTTTGAAAATACTCAATACACAAATCACATCTTCAGCTATTGCGATATTATCATTTGTTTGTTCTAAAGTACACGTCAGTCCTTATACATGGAAGTGTTTGTCCCGGTGCGACTGCAGGACTGATTGTGTGTGTGTGTATGTGTGTTGTGTTGGTGTGTATGTGTGTTGTGTTGGCGTCTGGTGGGAGATGATCCGGGGTTTCCCTTCGGTCAGACGCTGGAGCCAATGAGGATGAATGGCCGTGGCTGGAGGAGGGGGCAGCCCGAGCACCCAAGAATAATCCCAATCACAATCTTGAATTATACACACACAAAAAAAAGAATAAATAATAATTATTATGAATTTTTTTAACTCAAGTGAAAAATTATGTTTTCTCAATAATAGGTAAAGCGAGACATTTTACGCACTTAAGTCCCTTATTAAACCATTTTTTATTAGTTTTTCATAAAAAACCCAAAGAAAATCGAATCCAGGACAATAATAAACCTGAAGAAAAAAGATATATATAATCTTTACAGCTCAGATAAACATAAAACTCAAGACATTTTGACTTTGGTTCACTTCTCAAATCAAGATAGACCTTAGTATAGACCTTTTATTCTAATAATTATAATAATTAAAAAATATCTTGGGCACCTTTCTTGACACTCAAGGTCATTCTGTGCAATGCATTTTGTTCAAGCATTTACAACTATCTTTAAAGTTAAAAGTCTGTGAATCACAACTGGTCTGTTTGCAATAATGTCCATAATGGGGAGAGTCCATGTGGCATCATAACATTCCAAAGAGCTTATAGTTTTAAAAATGAAATCAGAGGGTATAGTCTGACGTATTGAACTGTGTCGACCACTGCCCTTTGGCTGAAAAGTAATTCTGACACAAACGTTTTTGATATTTTTGTCCGAACCGTGCATCAGAGCTCTCCGTGTCCTCGTTCAGTCCGTCACATGGATTTGCATTTCTTGTTTAAATCCGAGTTGTTTTTTTGTTGCAGACTGGTCAAAGAAGAGGCGATGTACAGGAAGGAAGCTCAGCAACAGGAGCAGAAGGTGGAGCGCATGAAAGCCGAGGCCGGAGACGAATACGTGATTAAAAAACAGGTACATTCTGTGTTTTTTACTCATTTCAACGTGTAAAGTGCCTTGTCTAAAAAAAAAAGGTTACTCTCTTACTATTATTGTACTTACCAATATATATACTTCTAATATATGTATACGTCTTTATTATGCTATAGTTAGTATTAATTGTGAATTTTCCCTTCTGTGAGATCTTTTGCTACATAACATTAACATTCATGCCTAAACCAGGTATTTGCTATTGGGTTTAATATAATTTGTTTTTCTTTTGATTATTTTTCCATTATGCTTATTATTGGGTTTATTAAGACATGTATGTCATGATAACTTTACATTTGAAAACTATATATAAAACTTAATGAAATAATTACTAGAAATATGATACCCATCTGAATGAATGGGCAACAATGGTTCTTTTCCACGGTGACCTTGCATGTTCTCCCTGTGTCGGCGTAGGTTTCCTCCAGGTGCTCCGGTTTCCCCTACCGCTTAAACATGTGCACTCGTTCAGGTTGAATGAGTGAGTGTTGAACAACAGTCGGATCATATTTGTTTACAGTTACTGCGGCCCCTTTAAAATAGATGCTTTATTCATCCCACCGTGGGGAAATTTCAGTGTTGCATCCACGGTTACAGAGCAGTAGGAATGAGGAGCACACAGCACAAGATAAATGAGCAATAACTTTTTACTAAATACAATAAAATCTCTAACTTTAAGCGTATAAAAGAAGCAAGTATAAAAACTCTAGCTTTTAAGGAAGAAATTCTAAAAAGAAGATGCAAGAATAAAGTACAAAATCTCTGACTAAAGTAAATAAATGTATAAATTAATGTTTTGAACAAATGAATCATTAATATGAACAATAATAATAATTCAACAATAATAACCTTTTAGTATATTTCTTACTGCCTTCAAATGTTCATATACATGTTGACTGTGTTTTAAAATATTCAAAGATAATATAAACTATTGTAACACTTTTAAACGTAAAAATAAACCCTGGGGTATAAAAACATTTATTTTTCAGGATTATTATTATTGTGGCATCTGTTGAGCACTTTTTGTTAGTGTCAGAATGTGTTGAAATATGACCAAAAAACAGTTTATGGTTCTGTAAAAATACATCGTCAATCTCAATGGGATCGACTCACAATAATACTTTTAATATCATGTAGTATTCATTTGATTTTTTTTGTTTTTTTATATCAAGTAATTATTGGATACGGTAAATTGTCTGAATTTTGCCAATGTCATTTCACACTTTTTCCCCCATTTATGCCTCCATTGAATTTTTTTTTACCTAGGAATTGTTGCATTTTTTTTACCTTGGAAACTTCATTCAAATTGAAGTTTCAGTGACATTCTCGGGCGCCTGAGAGAATCCTCTGCAACGTGACCTCCTCCGAACGCCGTCAGACTCGTTGTTCAGGCTTGAGCCGCGGGCAAACCTGGGGGGAGCGAGCCGGGCCAGGTGGATTATGGGTGAATATGAAAGGTCTAAAGCAGGATGGATTAGCAGCTTATAATCTAATGGAATCAATACTCTCTTTAAGTGTCGTCTTTATCCCGCCTTGATGGGATCATTCCAGCGTCAGAGCAGGGAGCCATGACTTTTCTTTTGTTTCGCCGCCCCTCTGCTGTCGTGGGCCTCACCTTGTCAGATTAGCGCAGTCCAGTTGTTTGCTGCCTTTCAGAGTGTCAGTTATAGCCCGCCTGGCTCAGCGTATTAGTTCATCTCCGCGCCTGTCAGTGTGTACGGCCGTGTAATGTACGCGTGTGAGAGAAAGAGAGAGGGGTGGGGAGGGGGGGGGTAGAGAGAGTGGTGCGTTTTGGCGATGGAGGAAGAGCCGGGGCATCATGAGTGAGTGTGCCTGACAGTGTTAGCCAACCCTCCTCGGCTCCTCGGGGCGCCGGGCGAGGGGGGGATTCCACATTAGCCGCGCCTGTGGAAGTTGGCGCGAGTACAGCAAGGCTCACTCCAGGCGTAGCCGTCGCTCTTTACGCCGATCACCGTGCCCTCGTTTTCAAGGGTTTCGTCGTTCATTCAGGTTTACAGCAGGATCAAGGTGGTCCCCCGCTGTCCATGGTCCTGATCGATAACTCAATAACATTTTTTTTATACCGTGCCTTGTTGGAGGTGTTAACCATAACGGTGGATGTGGGACACGGTGCTAGGCGCTGTGCACGTTTCTATTCCCATCTCGTCCCGCTGGTCGACTTGATTTACTCACTATTCAATATGTTGTTGATTTTTGTTTTCAGGGTTGGTAATAGAAATAACTAATGTAGGCGGCGCATACAGGGGCACTGTGGGAAGTTCATTTGTTTGATATGGAGTGCTGCAATGATGAATTATGTGTCTGATTTCAGGTGGAAGTTTTACAAGAGGCCAGAATGATGATCCCAGACACCCACCGTCGCCTGGCCATAGCACACGCTGATCTGGGGCAGTTATTAGTGAGTAACAGAGCAACAGACACAGAAGAACCATGGAGATATCCCAGTGTATATACTGCATCATACACACTGTTCTGTTCAAATCAATTCAATTAGTTTAAACACTTTCATTTTCAAACCACATCATCAACTTGATTAAAGCCTCAAAGCCTTTTTTTTAGTGATGCAGTAAATAACTTATGGTCAAAAGTATTGAAAATCAGACATTGATACTAAAACTATAATTTGTGAAGATGCTAAAAAAAAAAAAAAAATTACATAAGCAGACAAAATATTACATTTCTTGACCATTTCTTGATCAACTCTTAAAATATATCAGAGATGTAAAGAGCAGCCCATAGGTATTATTTTGAGTAAAGAATGTTAGTTTATTTGTCCAAAAAGAGAGTTTTAAATGATCGCTATGGTAATGAAATCTACTGAAATCTACTGTCATAACATCACTGATATAACTTTGCCGCTGCTCTATGTTCCTTCATGTCAACATTTATTTGTAAATATGGAGTTTATTTGCGTTCCTCATTAGCACAAACATATACGTTTTAAACTATGTCATGGATTGTAACCTTAGATGGATAATTCAATTACTTGGTTTAAGCTGGAGCTAAGTTGTGTTAACTCGGTCTAAAACAAGATTTAGACGGGCTGCTTTGACTCGCGCTAAGTGAACACCTGAGCCATCTCCTAATTTCTGCACATTAGCTCGTGCTGGGCCCTGAAGTGCTCATGTTCCTTCAGAACGTCCGCAGATGAGGAGTAAACATGTCTGTCTGGGGGTCAGTCTAATTAAAGCCAGGCCTCACAGACGCTGTTGCTTCAGCGTTAAACGGACACCGGTCCCTCTCCGTCTCTCAGACCTGCCCTTCCTCCACGTCCACCACACGCAGCGCCTTATTCAACCGGTATTACCAAAAAAACGGCCGCGACGATGAACTAAGAACTAATCAGGTTGTTTGTGTGCTTGCAGGAAACAGAAGAGGATTTGGCAGAGGCAGAGGAGTTCATAGAGGCGAGAAACATATTGGATTCAGTGAAGCTTGAAGGGTGATTGCGGTGCAGCTTTCTGTCCTCGGCGAGATCCACTGCTTAAATGTTCATTCCTTCTCAAATTACACTTTGCAAGTTTGCCTTTTTTTTATGCCAATCATCCCTTTTGAATGTGCTTTAAATACAGTGTAAATATGACTCTGTCGATAACATTCAGCCCCAAGAACACAAATAAAACTTGTTCATAACAGTAACCAAGTTTGGATGTTTTTTTTATTAATTCAGGTTAAGAGATTAAAAGATTCAGTCGTCCCACTGTGTAGAAATGTCGGTGTTGCATCACTTCCAGAGCAGTAGGAATGAGGAGCACACAGCATGAGAAACCTCTATACTAAAATAGAAAAACTAACTTAAGGATAGTGAGGAATCATATCTGAAATCTCCCAAATATAATATACAATACATACAGTATATTGCATATTGAAAAAGAAATATGTGCATAAAAAAAGAGAACATTACAGCTTTGTCATAATAAAGAAGCAAGAATTACTATAGTAAATATAGTATTTGTATTTTGGTGTCTTCAGTGCACTATATGGCTTAATGTTTCCAAATATAACTTGGGTAAAAAAAACAAAAACAATGCTGTGTAATCGTGAGGTCCAGGAAATTCTGTGTGTATTTATATATTAGAATTGTATAAATTTTTTCAGTGCATAAGATTAGATGGACTTAATTGATCTTACACAGGAGAAATTGACATGTCACATCTGGCTTAGATAGAAACACTCAAGATTGTGCAAAAGAAAGAAGTGTACAAACATGTTAAATGCAGGATATATTATGTACAATAAAAAGTGGCAATCAAGAAACAGTGTCAATAGTAGTGCAGGTTTTTCACTATAGTGACTATTGGTCACTATAGTATATTCTTTATGTGTTTTAACTGTTGATTACTTCTGTTATATTTAAGGCTATACAAGAATAAATTGTATTGAATTGTGTTGTGACTTATTGTACAGTCTGACGTTGCAGTATAAAAATCTTTTATGATCAGGAAAGACGTCTAAAATCTCCCAACTTCAGCATGATGAAGAATTTTCTGCTTCCGGGTGGATCATCAAGACTATTGGTCCTCCCAATTGTCAATCATTCTGGTCAAATAAGACCAAAGAGTTTTGCACAAAAAGTGGAGCGTGCAGTTCTTTCATAAAATTTGGGGAAATCCTCCAATATACCTTTAAGAACAAAATCTCTGACTTTAGCATAATAACAAAGCAAGTATAAAATCTGTATATTCTAGTGGAAGTAAATGGTGTGAAGCGACAGTGACACATGGTTCTAAAACGTTACAGACAATTGCCAACTACAGCAGCGTTTCCATATCTGCTCTAATAGAAAGGAATCAGTTGTTCTTGATGCCTACAGAATAATGACAACACACTTTGGATTCAGGTGTCACTCAAAGACAAACAGACCTGTCTCTGCTCATACACTACACCCATGGGTTCGAATCCCATGCAGCACCTCTTGTTAATGCCCAGGGACCAAACAGTCGTGCTAATAAATGAACTCAATTGTAACACAAATTAAGGTTACATTTGACTTGATCCTTATTCTACAGATTTGGATAATTACCAGGATCACCCCAAAGTCTCATTAGCGCCCTAATGTGGCGCTGCTACTGCGTGACATCTAGCCCGCTCCATCTCGTTAAGGAAATCACTCTTCAATGCTGATTATTTTATTTGGAGGTATAATTATATTTCTTTCGGATAGATCACGGCCTAATCGACTCCGTACAGAGGGCAGGGGCGTTAATTGAGGTATGAGATGCAGCTATGAGGCCTCCCCACCGCCCAACCCCCCCGCGCTGGCCGACCACTGCCCCACATTTGTCCCATAGTGATGCGACCTTTTCATTCCCCATGCGTCCTCAGAAACAGTCAATACAATGTTTTTGTGTGTCTATCTATATCTATGCATCACGTGTTCTGTATATATCCGCATGCAAATATACATATACATACACATATATTTGTCTTTTTGTTTTTTCCAGTTCTATTAAAAGTGACTCCTCGTTTCTGCGGCGCATGAAAATGTCTACTTTCCACTTAGATGCACCACATTAACTTGCACTGGGAGAATTTGTTTATTTTTTTTGTTCACTGCTGGTTGGATAAGATTGATGGTGTTGAGCGTGACAAGCGTGAGAAAGGTCTGGACTAAAAAAAAAACTCATTGATAAATATGGGCCTTTATTGCATTTATGGAATTTTAGGTTATTTATTTGACCAATTGTAGCACTATAACATTTAACCCCGAAGAAGACATAGAAAATATTTATTGGGAAAAAAAATCTGTTTTTTTTTTGAAAGCATTCAATGATCAAATTTGACAAAGGCATATTCGCTTTTTTGGGTTCTTACATATATTAACCAAAACAAAATATATATATACATCATATTTATTTTACCAAGTGTTGAATATATGTAACGTAATGTATCAATTAACGTGAAATTTGATCTAATTTCACATGTATAATGTTGCCGTTTATAATAATTATAATAATAACAATACTAATAAATACTAATAAAGATAATAAAGATAATAATAATACTACAGTTTATTATTCCTATTATGTGGGCTAATAATATAATAATAAAGTCTATAACACATGTAAGACGTCTCCCAATCCTCGGTTCTTTGGGTTAAATATGATCCACGCGCTGAGAGAAGTCATTTGCTTGTTTGTACAGCTATAAAAATGTCGAACCAGAAAAGTCATAAAAACGAAGCGCGCAGTCCATCATCCTGGACCAAGACCGAGGCATAAGATCATTTGAAATTATTATTATCGTTTGGCGCGAGCAGGCTCCGTCCACAACAGCCATAACCATTTAAAACCATTAGGCCTGTTTTAGTGTCACCTGCAAACACACACATACACACACACACACACACACCCTGCACGCAACGACCTGCATCAGATTGAATACGAACCTATGTGTGAATTATTAAAGGGCTCTTACATCCTCCACAGAAGACCTTCTTGGAGCGCGCATTTTTACGCAGATATTATATAGTCCTTTATCCGCGTCTTGTTGGGCACGCAGGAGGCTATAAACGCGTTTCCCGAGCTCTCCTCCTCAAGCAGCCGTCTCCAACATCACCAAAGAATAAATGATGAGTGAGGCGCTGGTGCTGGAGGAAAAGAAAAAAGCAAACAAGCCTGCGTTCACGCTTCAACAATTCTTTTGTGCCATTTTACGCACGGTATATGCCTTCTCCAAACACCGATCTCTGCAAGGGCAATAAGACACATTTCTCCCCATTACGTTATGAATAATCTGGCTGAAATAATTTTTCCATTTGGGGTAATATTATAATCACACATGATTTCTACACGACCATCTCTGTGTATAAGTCCAGGCCATAGTGGATTTTATCTCCAGCTATTTTGAAAGTTGTTCTGCTATTCTCTGTGTGAGGCTATAGATCTGCCTCTAATCAGGCCTACATACAAACTTAATAGCCTTGATAATTGGTGTATTGAATAAAGCCGTGGCTAACAAAAAAGGGTCACAACTCACTCCCCATTTCTGTCTAAATGAGTGCTCGTCTCAAGTCCTTATTACAAAGCAAACAAAAAGGAGTGGCCAAATGCAAGCGCAATTAAAGAAATATTGCTGCGATTCTACATTTCTCGGAATACTTGCCTGAAATGAAAGCGCACGCACCGATATTAAATCAGGTTATTTTGTTGGATGTAATTTGGAAAAGAAATCAAAGCCAATTACATGAATGAGGAGGAATGAACTGGTGGAGGTGGACGGCGGTGCGTGAGGGGCAGGGGGGCTAAAGCTGACATACCCCAGTCTGCAGCTCTGATTGGTCCTTCGTTTGGAGAAGCTCATGGGTTCATTCCGTTGTTAAGCGCCTCCCCATTTCTCTAAACTACATTATAATGCAACAGACCTCCCTTTTAACCACAAACCGAATTTGCTTTCATTTAGACCATATATATTTCTTAAATAGGTTAAAGTCATAGAGATTTTTTTGGAATAGCATTTCGCCCTGGAGCGGTGCGCAATGCTATCTCATGCCGACCTCTTGGATGCTCGCCTCGGTGAGTTATCATCACCAAACTCCGGTCTTCAACTCTACTGTAAGCTGGAGGAACTTCTCATCTTAAATCAAGCCTTGAAATTGTCAATTTGCTTCTTATATTCTCTAATTTGACTCGAGTAACGCAAACTGGCTTAATTCATTGGAAAAGTAATCATTATTATTATATTAAGTTACTGCATAATTTGATTTAACAATTTTCTAAGGTCTTGGAGTGGCCTAATAGAGGAGAAATACGAGTATTTAAGAAGCAAATTGTAATGTGCATGCTGCAGTCTGGTGTTGTCGCTTTTGTAAAAAAACATATGAGCTAAAGTTAAAGTTTATTTGTGCATGTTGAACTGGACTTAATGCATGCAACCTTTTGGATAAATGTTTCCAAATATTGTTGTTGAATAACATTGATTGGGATGTCTAACGCCTGTGTTTCCCTCACAGAGCTGCGCTGGTCTCTTCTCTCTCTCACGTCTCTTTTTCTGCCCAGGGATGAAGGACGCAGCTGAGCTGCTCGGCCACAGAGACGCGTTAAAGTGCCGCCTGCCTGATCCTAACCACTCGGAGCTGGGTCCCGGACCGGACGGAGTGGAAGGAACCACGATGCTCCCCGGAGAAGACATCATCGGCAGCACGGGGTCCTCCGTGGGTCCGGTCACTAAAGAGCAGGACAAGCCTCAGCCGCAGCAGAACAACAGCAGTAACCAGAGCCAGTCCGGACAGACGCAGAAGCAGAAGCGCCACCGCACGCGCTTCACGCCCGCGCAGCTCAACGAACTGGAGCGCAGCTTCGCCAAGACGCACTACCCGGACATCTTCATGAGGGAAGAGCTGGCCCTACGCATCGGCCTGACCGAGTCCCGCGTGCAGGTGTGTTCCAGTTCACAGCACGAAGAGGCTTTTAGAGAGAGTGTTTCTGTAGAGGCACGAATACAGGTGACCTGACTTTAATTAAGATACATTACTCTTTAGAATCATGACCACAGCTTCATAATTATCAAACTCAAAAAATGGGAATGTGTCCCAAAATGCTCTGAAACATGACGGATATACATAAATAAATCTAGAACTGTATGTGGTTCTAAAATAAATATACGTCAAAATCTTAGAACAATCAACAATATTGGCCTTCATAGGTTGTTTCGTTTTAACTCGTGGGGACAGAAACGAATACATTGATCCAAAAGAATTCATACGTGACTTTAATTTCACTGTATTGGTTATTTACACATCTATAACTCTATTTTGACCATCACCATCTCTTGTCTCGGATAAATATTCATTCGTTTAGTGCTACATTTTAAAAAACATATTTTTTCTAGACTTATTGAAATTCCAACTCTAAAAAAGCTCAATGCTAACGTCGGAAACACTTCCAACACACTTTTGATAATGTGACTAAGTTGTGTTGTTGAGCGGGAAAAGTGCAGCTCCGCAGAGTGACAGATGGATGGATTTCACGGCTGGACACGGACACGCGCGGTGGAATAGAATAAGACGCTCCCGTTCTACTTACGGTGCACCATGTTCTCCAAAGAAATCTCCACATTCATCATTCTGTTCCACGGACAAAACCAGGCTCTCAAGGACTGCGCCAATAAACACCATTTGTCAAAACCGCAACGACAGCGCGTCTTTATTACTGAGGCTAAAATCAGGCTATATGTGAGGTTAGCTCGGTTATTTTATTATTATTATTATTATTATCTATTCGATGTACTTGAATCTCAATACATTTAAAGATATGACACTTATTATTAGGTCTAATGGCAATAGCTGTTGTTATTATTACTGTTATTATTACATACTGCATGCTATTATTATTATTATTATTATATAATATATGATGATAATTATGATGATATTTGTTGTTGTAAATGTTATTGTGATGTTATTGTTGTTATCATCGTTATTATTGGTGTTATATTTGATCCTATAAAAACAGTGGGTAAATAAAGGCTGTGTTCTGGTGCAGGTGTGGTTCCAGAACAGACGGGCCAAATGGAAGAAGCGCAAGAAGACCACCAACGTGTTCCGTTCCCCGGGCACGCTGCTGCCCACGCACCACGGTCTGCACCAGTTCAATTCAGCGGCCGCAGCTGCCGCGGCAATGGGCGACAGTTTGTGCTCTTTCCACGCCAATGACACGCGCTGGGCCACGGCGGGGATGCACGGAGTCTCGCAGCTGCAGTTACCCCCTGCTCTAGGTCGCCAGCCCGGCATGGCTCAGACCCTGTCGCAGTGCAGTCTGGGTGCCGGACCCCCGCCCAACTCCATGGCCCTTTCCAACATGTCGTCCAACGGCTCCGGGCTGCAGTCGCACCTCTACCAGCCCACCTTCCCCGGGATGGTGCCCGCCTCGCTGTCCGGTCCCACGAACGTCACGGGCTCCCCTCAGTTGTGCAGCTCCCCGGACAGTGACGTCTGGAGGGGCACAAGCATCGCGTCTCTGCGCCGCAAAGCGCTGGAGCACACAGTGTCCATGAGCTTCACCTAGTGCTCTGCAGAGGAGCCAGAGGAGATGTTTTACTGACGCTGACAGTGCACCAGGACACTCGGGAGGCTCCTGGAGGCTCCTGGAGGACTCATCTGTTGGCCGGGCCGAAGAGGGCTGTCATATTTATTGTTTCGCATGTAAAGACAATTATCTATTTAAATTATTGGTTCGTTTGTAGGGTTTCTTTTTTGGCCCACCGCCTTTGTTGCAGTTTAATTTATGAGAAACTTTGGGGAAAAAACAAAAACAGCATTTGTCCGTCACAGGCCGCTGCGGTGAAGCTGCAGGACGTGACTGTGTCCGATGCATATTCTGTGTTTTTTGTAGCGATTCAAATTGGTCACTTTGTAAACGACGACAAAAAAGGTTGACATTCAGTCTGTGATTCACATCTGCTTTAATGTTTTCAATGGACATGTTTATAAAAATCTGTGTAAATTATTCAATAAAATTCATTTCAATTACCAATCCACACTGTTTTATTCAAAGCTACAGGGCTTTCAGATGAGGAATTATAAATAGGTGCAAAATGTTTCATATACCAAGTGAAAACCTGTTATAATTTAAATTCTTCATGGTCTAACACAAATGCACGGGCAAAGTGTGATTCAAAATGGAGAAATTACAGCAGTTATTTACAAAAAATAAAGACAATATTAGTGTTTTGAAATTGTGCAGTTAGAGTCATTGAATAAAATGTAAGTAGGACTGTGCCTCTTCAACATGTTTTTTTAAATGTGTAAAACAGTCGACAGCGCATCCTCGGTCTGGGCCATAACTTTATTTTATGGGCTGTTCGGTGTTGGAGCAGGGCCTAGTGTTGTCATCCCATCAGAAGTAATCATGACGCGCTGATGGATATGACGTTCCCGCAGAAACCACCAATACGTCTTCTCAGAGCGCGTTCCAAAGCCACAGATATTATTGTACAGTTAGTCCTGCAACACAGCACCCATTTTTTTTGTTTGTCTTTTCAATAAAACTCACAATTCTCATCCTATTTACGTTTATTTATGTTGGATATTCGACCACGTTTGGCACCAGAGCACGTCAAAGTATAGCGTCAAATACTCCATGCAGTGATAATTCTCAAAACTGAAGAATGTATAGTCAAAAACGACATTTATTGGAGAGTGCGTGAACAGAAATTGATGAAGATTTTTGCAGTCAATCTGACAGATGTAAAGTAATATTAATAATTTGTTTCACCATGAGCCAGGTTAATTAGCTTGTGGAAATTGGTAACCTATTTCTCATTGGGTAATTTGTCACACACTGACGAGGTATAGCCAATCAGTGACCCCGCTGCTGGAGGGATCATTTCTCCCAGAATGCTGTGCAGTGAGTGTGTCGCGGAAAATGTGTGAGCAAGCCAATGTTTACCTCCTATTATTCCGCACAAATAAATGAAATCAGTCAATAAACCATCCAAGGGTGAATATAGCTTTCTCTATCTGGAATTATGAATGAGGGCTCATTAATTTCCCCGTGTGTGTCTATGCATGTGTGTGTGCGTGTGTGCGTGTGTGCGTGTGCGTGTGTGTGTGTGTGTATGCGCTGCTGGGTGGCTTGTTGTGTAGATATACTTATGTTTGCATATTAATGTGTATTTTCAAATTAAAAACAGTAAGAACACATAACTGCAAAAGTAATGGGTAAAAGTAACGAGTTTTTATAAATAGTGCTTTTCCAGATGGAGCCAAGAATATCATCATTTGGAATTTATTGACCATAGCAATATGAGTGGGACAGCTGACTGACATCTCGCCGCTGTCTTCATTTGTCATTGTTTGAAAGGGTCTTTGTGATATTATAGAAATGAAGGGATTTGGAGTTTGCACATTATCTATTCATAAAAGCGGATTATGAGGAGAATTATACCACGTGGTCACTTGATGAAACGGCCAAGACTTGGACATCACTACAAATGTTTTTTTCTCAGAAGTTGTGTTGTTTTCAATTTTATGCCACATTTTGAGGACCTTCACATTCATTTATTTGTGTTATTTTTTGTAAATCATTGTTAGCGTGGTGTGCGTTTCAGTATTTGGTGAAAACAGAAAATATATGTGGGAACAAATGTCAATATCTTTAAATGAATTAATTTATTCACGTTGATGGACATTGGTCATTCCACTGCCTGTATTTGTTATTATTGTATTTCCTGTGTGGAGGAATTGACAACGTTGTAAAGTCCTCCCAGACGACTGCTGTTGTGATTTAGGGCCTTAGAAAATACATTGAATTGAATTTGAGTCTGAAATAAAGAAGCACAAAATAACAAAATTAAACGTGTCTGTTTTGTTATGTCCTATTTGGGGAGCTGTGTATGACAAATGTATTTCACACTTGCAATATTTATATCGACTCAATATGTACATTTTTAGGTAATATATTTATCACTTTTTTCAGGCGTTGAGTGTTGAGTTATGGCTATGGCTAATACTTCATTTTTTTCATCTCAAGCTTTAACAGGAGTTTTAAATGTGATGATCCTGAGGTGTTGCTATTTTGTGGAATAAGTAGGTATCAACATCATAGTTCATCACTTTCTCATATAGTGAGGGTGGGAGACCTGAAACAACCTGGAGAGAGAGGGACCGTGCTAATGCTGCTAAATTACCACTTATTTTTTATTGCATCCTTATGGTGACTAAATACACATTCAATTCCCCTCGTATATGACAAAACCCGTGATGGTATGTTCACTTGGAAGGTCCACAGCAAATGCACATTTTAATGGACTTTTCACACATGGTATATGGACTTAATAAAACATACTGAATTAAGGATTTATAATAAATTACATCTTTTTGATATTTGCTTCAGATCAAAGACTCACATTAGCTGCATCTCAACAGCCTCAAGACAAACAGATTAATAAAAATAAAAATAAAAACCAGAAAAAAACAGTCAGTTTGAGGCCAAGTGTATTCAAACTAAAGCCATTTTAACATTAGAGTAAACATGTTATTCAGTGTTTTTTTTCTAACATTATGAAGTTTTTTTATTTTATTTCCCCGAAGCCCGGTTATGTGCATGGTAAAAAGCGATTTCCCATGAACAAAACTGGAGCATTTTATCTTCAGATTCAGTTTATTTGCCATTTGTAGTGAAACCCCATTGGAATACACGCGCAAAAGTATACCCCAGTGTGCACCAGACAAATACATTATTAAAGAAACATATCACTGTGAAATCTATCAACAAAATCATTTTATACAAATAGCAAGGGCAAGATTATAAAAGTGCTTTGTCCAAACTAATAACAGTGTAATTAGTTGCCATTATTAAGAAAATATGCGATTGCTTTCTCCATTTTCTCAATTTTTTGCCTTTATGAAATGACCAATCTGACATAGTTGCCTTTTTAATAGTACAAGGATCAAACAAACAAGTCTAAACGCAGGTCAAATGCATTATTCTACTTTGCAGCCTTCTCTTCACTGGCATCCAACACATTTTTTTTTGTTTTTTTTTTTTGACGCGTTTCAGTTGAACCTATAAAACGTCGCTGTCATGATTTGAATGAAGTCTGCTCTACAGTCTATGATAGTTGTTTTATATACTCGTCCTAACAGACCATAAATGTACGGTGCTCCAATCATATACGTCTCTTCTCCCCATGCATGCACAACAGCGTTCGGTCCTCCTCCACCTGCAGCCGTCCCCTCTCCCACATAACCCTCCTTTCCACGATCTGCCCTTGAGCTTTTCTATTACCGCATGGAAAGCACCTCGCAGCCTGTGACAAGCGCGGCGGATCAACACTAAATCAGAAATCAGTGCCAGGCGCAGATCTAAGGCACCATGAAGGTCACAGGCCCCAAACCGCGTGTCGTCTCAATCGCAAAGAAGCAGCAGCCAATCTAATGCGCGCTCAGGGGGGCATGCACTCAAAAGGAAATATTTGTAAAAGTCATGCACATGTATAAAATAACTATACTGGACAATGTTAGTGTATACCCCATAATGTGTGTTGCCCAAAACATATAGAGGGTGAAGCCAGTTTCATCTGTCCAATGTCCAAAATCTCTCCAAAACAATGTATTTCTCTTTAGGGGTATATGTTAAAGCTGGGGTAATATAAATTCAACACAAATGGAACCAATACAAAAACGTGTAACTGTAAGAGATCATTTGCAGAACATTACATTGGTTGGCAGAACATTAAAAAAAAGAAATTTTGAAGGGAAAATTGTGATCCTTTCAAATATTTTTCTAGTATTCCTCACTTATATTTTTCAAATGCATACACTTGCTTTGTCACATCTTTAGACCAGCTTTTTCAGACAGATAGGTACAAAAGTTAGGACCACCCCCACTCAACCAATCAGCTTAAAGCGTCAAATAGTGATGCACGTGGCTCTGTATGATTCTAAATGTAAGAAGTTTTCTCATTAGACAAAGACAGCATGATTTGGAATTGCTGAAAAGATTTTACTGCTACAAGACCTGAAGAAACAATGTGTTATTTGTGTACCGAAAAAAATAGGTAACCCAGCTTTAAGTTTACTATTAACTGAGACTTTAGATTAAAAAAATATACACAGAAAATGCGCGCAATCATGATCAATGAAAATTACAGGACAAATATAGTAAAAAAAACGAATAATGAAAAGTCGCCTTTATTGAGGGCGTCTAACTTCTACAGCCACTGAAAGAACGTATAAGTGGTAATTAAATAGATGTAAGAGTTATTAATGGACTGTGTGCGTAGTATATAACAAATATATTCTTTCCTCTCTTTTGTTTCTAAGTATCTGTTCTACCACAACAAATGGATCATCAAGCGTCTTTTGTATTTTACTGTAAATTGTACATTTGTGAAACCATTTAAAACAAACATATTGCACAATATCTATACAACTTGATAATCCACCACTTTAGGGCAATCTGCAGCTGCACTGTTGTGTTTATAGTCAGCGGTTGTATTCAATGTTGTTGTTACACACTGCCATCCAGCGGTTAGCACTTGTATTACAACATGTTAAAAAAACAGTACAGATACCATATCTAATTTCTTATTTAGCATTATTTAAGACAGCCTGCATTAATAATCACATGATAAGCAACTAAACAATTTAAAGGTTAATTGATAATAATTATTCTATTCCCCCATTTTGGTTTTGGGTATTTTGTTCACGAGCGGCATCCGTAGTCAGTATCACATCACATGGACGGTTTGTTTTGGTTTCACGTGATGCCGCAAAAATACATTTCTATTGCTCAAAAAACACCGTGTCTTCTGTGTTAAATAGTATCATGCTATAGCAAAAATATAAGTACGATTATAATATATTTTAGCAGTCTTTCTGTGGAGGCGTTTGGCGACGGTAAGGAAACATATTCTCGCGATGTCTCACAACCACAACACCTAACCTAATGGCATAACATTATGATTATATTATTGTTTTGTGTTGATCCAGGTGTGAGAGGTCAACATGTTACGCTGGATTCTTGGAAGTAAGGAAGCCCAGAGCTCAGTGGTGAGTGAGTCATTAAGGCAAGTTTATATGTATAGCACAGCATACACAGGGCAACTCAAAGTGCTTAACAAATACACACATAGAATAATCACAGTACATTAAAACGAGGTAAGATACAATCCTTCATTTCATGCACAGCAACCTGGATTCGAACAATGTCGTAGTAGAAGCCTGTCTCACATTTTCGGGAAGAGATTTTAGCTGTATAAATCTGAACCGCCGCCTTTTCCCATGTTTAGCCCTGAGTCCGAAGTGTCTCTCTTTCATTATCTTTCTCTTTCTTTTAACCTCTCTCAGCCCCTTGTATAAGACCTGTGTCTGTTTCCCTCACCATTTTCTCTCTACGTCTGCAGAAAAGCTCAGTGTTGTGCATTGGTGAGGAACAACCCCAAAACTGCTTCACTGAGCTCCAGGTGCTAAAAGGACATTTTGACATTGTTCGATTTCTGGTGCAGATTGATGACTTCAGGTGAGCACAGTATAGCCCTCCTCTCCCTCCCACCCTGTCTTCCCATATCACATAATCTTTGGCTTTCTTCCTCTCTCTAACCTCTCTCCTCTCCACCCATGGCTGGCCTCTATCGCCATGTGATTGACAGAAGATCCTCACACACAGAAAACTTACAGAGCATGACAAGAGCCCAATCATGACCAGTGTGAGGCGGTGCATCCACTGTTCTTCTGTACACTACATTTCAGTTTCACGCACAACCACATATCTGCACCTGATCCTCTCTGCTCTGGTTAGTCAGCATGCTACAGCGCTCTGCATAAGTCTTTACAAAGGGATATAGCAATGTGTGTGTGTGTGTGTGTGTGTGGCTGTGTGTGTTGGTGGGGGTAGACTTCACGCCTGGTCGCCTCTTGGTCTCCTCCAGTAATAACCTCCTCTTGGCCCTGTCCCTTCTGCGCAGAGGTCCGCAGACGAGGGCAGAGGCCAGAAAATTCACTCCAGATTACTTTCAAAGTCCGAAAACATATCCTGGACAATTCCGCTCCTTCTCATTGTACTGTATCTCTCTCTTTCATCCTCTCATTTATTCTGTTGATTTTGAGAGGGGCTCATGTGGATTGTGGGGGGCAGAGGGTAAGTCAAGGAGCTAAGCCTCAGGACAAGTGTTTAGTTTCTTTGCTAAACCAGGTCTTATGGGAAATGACTTCTTGTCTCAGTGCACCTGACTTGTAGACTGTCAGTGTGGGAGGGTAATGCGTCTATAATGATGTGGCTGTGGTTTTCAGATGTGCATCTGCAGGAGATGATGGCCTTGTGTTGGTTTGGGATATTGAGGTAATGTAAAGATTCCCCGTTTATGATAATTAAAGTCCTCATGCGCAACAGATAAAAGGCTCATTCTTATTCTTGTTTTTTGTGTTAGACGGGAGAAAAACTACAAGACCTTCGAGGACATTCGCAGCAAATCACCGCCATGACGACTTTTGTTTGTAGAAGTGCACTTACGACGCAGACCTTGCTGATCACTGCTTCTTCAGATCGAAGTCTGAGTGTATCCTTTCACCACAGCAAAAACCAAACATTATGAGACAGATCCCACGCTCAGCACAGAGACCATGAAGACAAATGCATACATGTGATTTGTGTTGCTCTACATCAGTCCTCTGGCCCGTACTGTCCTTTACACTTCTCCATAGACTACACAGGGACAGCATCAGAAGCCACAGACCTGCGCGCACGGCCAGTGTAGATACACCCAAATAATTTTACGCGCAGATGCGCGCAGTCAACACGTACGCGCTGTTAAGGCCTGCTGTGTACATTCCCTGTTCAGCCTGGGTCTGTAGCCTGTTCCTTGCTGATGCAGGAGGGTATAATGACAGTGATGATCCAGGACATTTAAGGACATTTATTAATATTCATTGACATCGGTCATGCCGCTCCCTATGGACTACAGTTTGTGTATGTCGTTATCATATTTCTGAGTTATTTGGAACTGCAGTTCTTATTTAGGGCTATACACAAATACATTGAGTGAAATGTTATAAGGTTAATCGTCTCCAGAACATTCTCTGTGAAGTTCTCCTCAAGGACAAAATATCAGATGTGTTTGGAAAGGAAATGTTGTTTTTTTTTTTTATTTATTTCAGTAATGTCACACAGTGTTGTTTTGAGGGATTCACAAAGTCTGAAAATACCCAAAGTTGCCATTACATGAAGATATTTAATTAGTTATTTCGAGCAAGTAAGTGGACATAGAAATAATTAGTACAAATTCATCACAAGCAACTTCGGTACATTTAGAAAATATAACAAAGAGTAATAACAAAAAGAGTAATAGTACTAACAGAACGAGGAGGAAACCACACATTATCTCAATGGAATTAACTTTGGGTATTTTTTGGGCATATTATTATTATTTTTTTTATCTCATTGACCTCTGGACTTGATTCACACATTCAGAAGATAATTAATAGTTCCTTAATTTTACACTAGCTCTGGGACCCTGACACAGGAAACCGAGTTCAAATGATTTCTGATCTTCAGTCGTCCGTCAAGGTAACTTCAAAACACGACAAAATAATTCAGTTTGAACCTATCTGTAAAGATTCTGTGTGTGTGTGCGCGTGTGTGTGTCAGTGTCTGTTGGTTCTGGAGCAGTTATGTTTGTTTTTGTCTGGCGGAGACGAGTTGTGCGTCTGGAACAAAGACTTCCAGCTTCAGTGTCATCAGCGGAGCCTCAGCGACACTGGTGCGTACACACACGCACACACACACACACTATACATACACGCACAATCATGATTTTTCCATATTTCTGTAGGAATCTTTGCACTGATAGAGCTTCCAAAGACTTGTATAGCAGCTGCCATGGATAAAGAAATCGGTAAAAAAAAAAACACACTAATTATTGTTACGTAATCTCTCCTTTTGTCTTATGTTGTACCTAATGTGTGTTTTTTTTTTCAGTGATTTACAAGTTATCGGTCTCTGCCAGCTCGATTTCTCTTACTGAGATGCAACGTCTCTCTGAACATCGGGACCAGATCCGTGCTCTTATAAATGTCAATGGTAAAAACTCACTCACTCATTATTCGTTTTATTTATTGAATCTGTTTTTACCATTCTGTATCACTTTATGGTTTGGTGGCCTCTCCCTGGCAAAACCGAAACAGTAGCTTGGTTAAAGTGGCCTGTTAGGTGTAGGAGAGACTACTTTTACCCACAGGATGGCGCTATAGGGCCCCTGGGTGCAGGACAAAAAGTTTGGGAACTCCATTTCTCCCAATAGCTGTGAAGCACCTTAATGGCACATAGCCCTTTATACAAACTTTGGCACTTTACAGTATATTTGCACATAAACTAGCTTTGTGACATCTTATTGTTCTTTTTCATTTTCAGTGATATTTCAGCGTTGACACTGTTACAAGTTACAGACAGTATGAAGGAGTCACACTCAGCACAAGATAAATTAATAATAACTATACCAAAATGAAATAAAATCTAAAATAAAATAACATCTCTTACTATCTCATAACAAGAAGCAGTATACAATCTCTCTTTAACTCTATCTTTATCTCTATCTTTAGTTATTGTGATTTTACCCTGTTCAAAACCATTTCCCCCTGTGGAACAATAAAGATAACTTTGAACTCCGGACGGTGGACACCCTCTGTATTCCTGCTTCTTCATCGCTGCTTCTCCTCCTCAGAGAACGTGTTTGCCTCTGGGTCTCATGCCGGGGAGCTCATTCTCTGGGACGCGGTGGACTGGAGCGCTCTGGCCTATGAACATATCCTGTGGGAGGAGTCACAAAGTGCGTCGGAAATACGCATGGGGGTATCGAAGCCGAGTGAGATGTCGATTCAGCATCTTTGCTCCAATGGAAAAGTAAGAATCATTGTTTTTACATTATTACTTGAGCCCAGCCATGCTGATGTTAGAGACCATGTTTAGTGGCCCCTCAAGTGATTTTAGATTTTTTCTGGTAAGATTTTCCCCCGTTGCACAGGAAAGAATTTGGACGCAGCTCTATATGTTTACGTGAACAGCAGAGAGACGACATGAGGAGAGCACGAAATTAACAGGACTTGTTTTTATGTGATTAGGACTTATTATTTTGACTCCCTCCAGGTTTAGTAGCTATAGGAATCAAGTTTAGTGTCAAAATAGATTGGTTAATGAGTCAGGATGTGAAAGCTAACAGTTCATGTTTGCCTCTTCAGAGTTAACTATTATTTAAAGTTTTGGTCATCACACGTCAACAGTGTGTTAAACGCAGTGTTATTAAATCATGTTATGACCAGTTACATCTACAAATAAATTGAATTAAATCTAATTAAGAACAATTAGTCAAAATACCTTCAAAATAAACCACTTTTTATCCCCCATCTGCTCTTACTTTTTAAAGCTGGCCCATCTTGACATCTTGATTCCACCTCCAGACCTTTCTATATTGAGTTTGCATGTTTTCACTTCCACTAAAAACATGAAAAATAGGTCTGAATTAGGGATGTAAATCGGCGACCGGTTAACCGGTGGTTGACCGTCACAGCGTTAACCGGTCAAAGCTGTCGGTTAAAAAAGAGAAAACGGGGAGAGGGGAGGTCTCTTAATAACGCTATCCTAAGCCCTATTTGCACGGTGTGACGAGCGGGTCTGTATCTAGCTGTGTGCGCCAATGTATTATAAACTCCGGGACGACTCTCACGCTGCACGAGCCACATATGCACACACGCACGCGTACGCACGCGTGCACACACACACACACTTTCCCCCTCTCCATACGTAACATCCACACGCATCATCTCTCCCCTCTGTTACCATCAAAGCACACTGGCGCGGGTCAGAACTACATTGGAGCTTACATTTACACACACACACATATACATACACACACACATACACACACACATACACACATACATACACACACACATACCGGTCTGTCGCGCTCCTCTGTGTCACGAAGCCCAAAGAATTCGCGCAAATACGCGGCTCCAGTCAAACCACATGGACCATGTTTGTGTTTATGGTCCTCGGGATCAGCTCCACACACATCACTTGTATTTAAACTTTTGTGAAGACCTGTGAGACGCGGCTCGTCACTCGCTGCTCTGACCATGTGAACGAGCCGTCGTTTGCTGCTAGAAAGTTTTGGTATTAACCCGCAGCACAGAAGAATGGGAAGATTAAAAAAGCAGTTCTCTGTGCGCAAAGGTGCCGGAGCTGTTGCGGGTTTGGGCGCCGCTGTCTCGGCTCTGATCCAGTAGAACGCAGAGCTGCACTTATGAAAAGTACGCGGCTCGAAATGGCCGTTATTTCAAAGAACGTGGGACTATTTTAAACTACGCGGTTAACCGGTTTCAACCGGTTAATGAGGCTCGGTGGTCGGTCATGAAAATTCATAGTTTTTTACATCCCTAGTACATAAATGTAACTATTAAGAGCTTCTGTGAAATGTAACACTTGAACTGATCAGTGAATAGACATAATATTAACAGCAAGCATAAAACCTTTTACCTGCTCAAAGTGTGAAGTGTTTGAAGACCAACAGAGGCTTATCCCCAAAGAGCCTCGCACACAGGTTTAAAGTCAATACACCCTCCTCAGATTGGAAAAGTAATTGATCAAGGATTTAGACAAACACACCAGTAATATCCCAGAAGGTAGAGAACTTCTGGGCAGGGGTTCTTTGAACATTGTTGAACAATAGCTGCGTTGATCCCACATGACACTAACTGAAACCTCTATTTTCTATACAGATTGTTTTGGTTACATACTACGTTGTTTGGCCGCTGAAAAATGATCAATAAAAAGAAAGACTTCATACTTAATACATTTATTATATTTATTGTGAACAGATGAAAAAAATTAATATTTAAAAATTCAGAAATACACATAGAAGAAAACACAACACATGCTAATCTTTATCTTACTAAACTAGTATTTGAGTGATGACCCTGTACGGGACGGCTGAGAGCTGCTAAACAGAACTGTAGATGCAGACATTAACTAATTATAAATTTTCATTTGTAATCAATATAAAAGTATATATTTTACATAAAATTAGAATATTTATAAACATTTAGAACAGACAGTAGAATATAGTAAACATATACAAAGCACCAATGACAGCAGATTAGCCATTTAATTACAACCTTTCCCTCTCCCGGTCATAAAAAAGACTGCTGGAACATCTGCGTCTCCATCCCCCCTGGTCCATGTACAGGAAATACTTTGCATGGCAGTAAGATGTATTTCCCCGACAGACCAGGGAAATTGTGTATGAATGTGGGATTGTTGGTCCCAGCCTTCAGCTGCATTTGCAGAACCCGCATCTTTACTTCCAGCTGGCAAGGAGACTCATCTCCTCTTCCTTTTCGTTCTCCTCCGCTCATTCACTCTCCCGCTGCGTGGCAAGCAGTAGAAATTACCTGGTAGGACCCTGCTGGTAAAACTCGTGGATGGAGCTGCCATCGCCCTCATATTTGGATTTTGGCTGGCCACAAGACAGGCAATTTCTGTGTGTGGGATTATTTGCTCGGAGGCCTGCAGCCTGCTTTTCCAAGATCCGCTGCAAAACCATCTCTCTGGTCTCCTCAGACAAGCGGTGACATGAGTCTGAGCAGAGGAGCGCGGTTCACCTGCTGCAGGGGCCATGGTGACAAGCATGCGCTGTGCTGTGTCTTACTGCCTGCTGTGCAGCGTTGTAACACCCCCCAGCAACTTCCGCCCCTTGATCTGAGGCATCACCTCCTCGTCACTATCGCACCGCAGAGTTGAGGGCGTTCTCCCTCACCACCTCCTCCCTCAGCGGAGCACCGCACTCCGACATGGACGGGTCGTCCCTGATCTTCCTGCCTCCACCGAAGGGTCTGCAGCAGGAATCCACGTGGGCCCTTGGTGAAAAATCACAGTGACGCGCCAGGAAAGAATGAAAAGGTCTTCATATTGCCTGCAACAACAAAAAAAGCTCATAAAATATCTAGCAATAACGATGATAGAGAAGTATGTATAAGGGATTATATCTTTAGCATAATAAAGAATAAAAAATTACATTTAGCATAATAAATAGCATGACTCCTGTAAAATCTAGAGAAGACATATACAGTAGTATGTTTACAATCTGGACATTAGCAGCATGAGGCTCTGGAAACCGTTAAGTACAGTTAAAGAGAGGAAAATATGAACTGGTAACTAACACGGTAATACATTGTCTGTAGAACTAACTGCAATATACTTCATTTTCAACTCAATGTGTTTGCTGGCTGCACTATAGAAATGTGAAATACAAATAGTATAGTACACACATCAACAATAAGCATAGCTGCACACTACGACAGTACAACAGATGGAGCAAACTGTATTATACACTCTTATGGCAATCATGTGACTAACAGTACACTATGCTCTGTCAACACATTATTAGCCTTAAATCACGATTATGGAAGACAATAGTAAGTGAAACAGAGAAAGGAGCACAGTGACAACACGGAGCCATAACTCACAGCAGTAGCACTTATACACAGCCTAGTTACCGACAACTGTGTGCATTAAGCCTTATCACAAAAGTGCATTTGATCGTGATATCAGTTGGCTTAGCTTCACTTGTGTATCATCCCAAAACTCCCTGCGTTAACGAGCGCTGGAAAATACGGACACTACAACCAGGACGTAAACAAACTGCATTAATGTAACAGTGACGTACAGTGAATACAGATTTTTTGACAACGCAGAGAAATTTTTTCTTTACCATATTGAACCAAACAGAGAGATCTACGAGCCAACAGGCAAGCAACAAACACATGACACTAGGTAAACAATCAAAAACAGCGCACTACACACGCGAAGATATAATACGACAGACGTGTGTGAACGATCTACGCACAATATGAGAGATTTATGGAGTGAAACATAAAGACCGGGCACAAAAACATTGTGTTTATCAAGAGACTTACCGAGTGCGTGTGTAATCCACAAATGAATGAAAAGCCGGCTATTCTCCATATTATATTTTTTTTTTTCCGATTTAAGTGCAGCGCGCCCACGTCACTTCCCCTTCCGCAAGGCACCGAAGTGAACATGAAAACTTTTATCCATCCACGATATATTAAAAAACTGAACAATAAAACGCGCTAAAAAGTTGTTAAAAGTTTACTAAAAAGGTGCACAGAGCAGCCCTGCAGTACTGCTTACTTTGACACACCTTTAGTCATTTTTTTTAAACTCCTAAGCCAGTGTTTTTCAACCTTTTTTGAGCCAAGGCACACTTTTTTCACTGAAAAAATCTTGCGGCACACCTCCAGGAGAAAATGTAAAAATATATACTGTACATACTCTGTGTGATATATAAAGTATATCTCATCTTATCTTATAATGTATACAGTATACTCTGTAGCCTATATTCACAATATACAGTTATTCTCATCAAAATGCTTAAGTCCAGGCCTTAACATTAAGCTTTATTTAATATTTCTCGATACAATTAACAAGAGTTTGGGAATAAAGTCGCACTAACTGTGTGAAAAAAAACTAAGAAAATCCACTTTCTGCCCAAATAGTCAAATAATAACTCACACAAAGAACATGCATTGTTAGTGCATGGGAAAAATTTAGGTATCCGAGCTTTAAATTCAGGAGTTTTGGATGAGGGACACGGGAGGTCCTGAACGCGAGTCCATGGTTCTGTCCGGTCCGCATGTCTATGGTTCTTTCACTCGACTATGGTCTGCGATCGGTACCCAGTTCAGAAGTGCGTTCGCGAGAGCTGTTGTAACAAAAATTGTACATTTCATAGTTAAACCACTACAACGCGGCCACAGCTGCCCCGGGGCAGAGCGGAGGATGTTAATCCTGTTCAGAAACGGCATAATTCATTTTCAAAAACGTCTATCACTTTCACTTCTCACTCGCCACAAAGCTCTTGTCTCGCTCCCTCCCACATTTGTTGGTCGCATCCAATTTTACCTTTCTCGCCACAATGCTGACCTGTTACAGCCAGTGGTCGCATCCAATTTTTCAGTTTCACAGTACGTAGCTATCTGCTGCCATCTACTGATTTGAAAAAGTATTACATGGTTACTCCACAGTTCAAAACAAGTCACCGCTCGTCAACAGCGAATGCAGTTATTTTTAGACAAAGTAGACGAATTTCTCACGGCACACCAGACGATATCATACGGCACACTAGTGTGCCGCGGCACAGTGGTTGAAAAACACTGTCCTAAGC